AATAGTTTCCCGTCCACACTTTTTTTTTTACTTCAACAATAATTTTTAAGAAATTCCCCTACAGCAGCATTTCGCAAACAACGGCATATGTCCTTTTCATAACTCCTAGTTGTCTTTCCATCTTTTCCTAATTATCCAGAAAAAACAATGAGAAAACAATCATACTTCTTTAATAAGAAATGCACAAACCGGTTTTATCGATAGGCCCATAATCATAAGACGATCCCTCACCACTTCGATGCACAGTGTTTGGTCCAACGACAGCCGTTCGTGCGCGGTCTAAAAAAAAACAAATTCAGGAATTTATTTGCAACTCCATTTTGCGTATTTTAGAATGCAATAAAAATTTTGATTTAGAAGGCATCTTCGTTAAGCAAACGAAGAAATCCAAACGATCGTTTGAAATGGTTCAAGCAATTAATAATTCAAAAACCTTCCAAAATTATACTGGAACTTCTCCCTCGCCTTTCCCTCCATCCCCACCCTCTTCCCCTTTATTCATAGCCCGATATAAAATCAAGGTTACAGTTTCACTCTGTTAACGGAAATACTTTAACACTCGCAACTGCATCAAAAAAAATCGGCAATTTCAGGCAACCGCAGCGTATATGACCAATCAGTTCTACCAACAATCCAAGTTACGCTAACTTCTAGTTAACAGTGTACCCGGAAAAAGCCAACGACACGTCACGCATGCTTTTTTGACGTTCAGAATGAGGCCCAAGTACACGTGTTTCTTAATAACGGCCAAGAATTCATGCATCTCAAAAGACTCCATGCGAAGCGCCGTCATACACCGAAGATTCTTGGAATCCCCTCATCGCCCGCAAGCTCGGCCCATTACAGTGGACCAGTACGGAGGTACGCACGTCACTCGATTCCAATCCTCTTCTCAAACTTTAATTACGGTGCAGTAAAGTTTGTAATTTTATATTATATAAATAAATAAATATAAAAAAAATAAAAAAATAAAAACTAATCGACGGGGATGGAATGATTCGGCCTCCTCAGTATCAGAACTGAACTTTGTTAAAGCGAAGTTGTGGTGTTGCTCAGTTAAGAGTATTTAAATATAGTTAAGAGTATTTAAATATACGTGGTGTTGTTCAGTTAAGAGTATTTAAATATACAGAGTATTTAAAATGTGAGCAAAAGTGAGAATGAAGGAAATGTAATAAAAAAAAATAACTCTTTCACAAAACGTTTTATGTTCTAACATAGCCACCTGACTTACGAAAATCCCTAGTGGGATTGAGATTAGCTCGTAACACACAAATAACTCGTAGGACAGTAAGCATTTCAGTGTTTTCTGAGATTACAAAGAACTTTTTCGACATAAATCTGGAAACTGTCGAAACTGCTGCGACACTTACATCAAGATGAAGTACACTGGTTACAATTCATAAAGAGTTGCAATTAATAAAAGTATGATATACAACTAAGTAATGGTTTTTGAGCTGATTCTGCTACAGGCTCAGACGTTCTACCAAAGCTTTCAAAGTTGTCAGCGAGAAAACCAGTTTCCTAAGATGGGTCACTCCGATGCGAAATAGTAAGCGTCCACTTTTAGAGCCTCACAATCACAGATCGTGACAGCTAATGTTAGCAAGGCAGTGATCTCGGCAACAGACGGAATATTCCTTCTTGAAAAAAAAAAATAGGAAAAAATAAAAACGCGACTTTGAAATGCACACAGAGTTAAAAATTAACCCCTGTAAAGTTCCAGTTCGTATCTTCGCTTGTCCTCCAGTCATAAAACTTTCCCGGATTTAAACCTAAGTATACACGGCGGCCTAAACGACAATTCTAGCGTTGTGATATATATATATATATATATATATATCGGAAGGTTTGGCACAGCTGCACTCGGCAAGTAAGGGCCTCCCAGTGAAATCACTAACACGGGATACCCACACTTATAGGCCGGGCGGTCATGGTATTCTC